CTCAAGAAGACTTTCCACATCAAGCAGATGTTCACCTGCACATCTGCCAATGTGGTATACTGCATCTGCTGTACCCGGTGTGGCTTCCTCTACATCGGGGAAACCAAGCGGAGGCTCGGGGACCGCTTTGCAGAACACCTACGCTCGGTTCGCAATAAACAACTGCACCTCCCAGTCGCGAACCATTTCAACTCCCCCTTCCATTCCTCAGACGACATGTCCATCCTGGGCCTCCTGCAGTGCCACAACGATGCCACCCGAAGGTTGCAGGAACAGCAACTCATATTCCGCTTGGGAACCCTGCAGCCCAATGGTATCAATGTGGATTTCACAAGCTTCAAAATCTCCCCAACCCCTACCGCATCCCAAAACTAGTCCAACTCGTCCCTGCCTCCCTAACCTGTTCTTCCTCCCACTTATCCCCTCCTCCCACCTCAAGCCGCACCTCCATCTCCTACCGACTAACCTCATCCCGCCCCCTTGACCTGTCCGTCCTCCCTGGACTGACCTATCCCCTTCCTAACTCCCCACCTACACTCACCTTTACTGGCCCCATCCCCGCCTCTTCGACCTGTTTGTTTCCTCTCCACCTATCCTCTCCTCTATCCATCTTCTATCCGCCTCCCACTCTCTCCCTATTTATTTCAGAACCCCCTTCCCCTCCCCCTTTTCTGATGAAGGGTCTCGGCCCGAAACGTCAGCCTCTCTGCTCCTATGATGCTGCTTGGCCTGCTGTGTTCATCCAGCCCTGCACCTTGTTGTCTCGGATTCTCCAGCATCTGCAGTTCCTACTATCCCTGGGAAGTGTTGTTGAGCAAAAGGACCTCGGGGTGCAAGTTCATAGTTCCTTGAAAGTCTCACGCTTGCCTTCATTGAGTATAGGAGTTGGGAATGTCATGTTACAGCTGTACAAGATATTGTAGAAGCCACTCTTAAAATAGTGCATACAATTCTGGTCACCGTTCTATAGGAAGGATGTTGTTAAACCAGCAAGGGTACAGAAAAATTTACGAGAATGTTGCCAGGACTGCAGGGCTGAGCTATAAGGAGAGGCTGAGCCTCTTTCCTCTTGAAACAGCAAAGGCCAAGGGGTGGTCTTAACAGAGGTTTACAAAATCATAAGGTGAATGTGAAGGGTCTTTTTCCCCAAAGGAACAAGAGTCCAAAACTAGAGGGCATAGGTTTCAGATGAGAGGGGAAAGATTTAAAACAGACCTGAGAGGCAGCTTTTTCAGTTAGTGGAAGGAGTACATGGAGCGTGGAATGGTACACGTAAGAAATGAGCTGCCGAAAGAAGTGGTGGAGGTAGATATAACTACAATATTTAAAAGACTTTGGACAGGTACATTGATGGGAAAGGTAGAGGAATATGGTCCAAATGTAGGCACGTAGTTCAGTTTAGGAAACCTGATTGGCATGGATAGTTTGGGCCAAAGGGCTAGTTTCTCTGCTGTATACCTCTACGGCTATATGTAGCTGGAGATTTCAAATAGACTGGTGCATGACAAGACTAGTTAGGACCAGGTATTAGGTGTTTTCGCAGGAATCAGGTGCGTCAGGTGCCTTGTTTCCGGGGAGCAGAGTCAGGAGGAGGAGCACACGGAGCACGGTGAGTATAAAGCTAACTTACCTTTGGGATTCGTGGCCTTGTTTCCACAATTATCAGAGTCTTATTTCCAGATATTTCTTCAATTCAAATTCTCATGATCCACCATGACAGTATTCAAACCTGGTCCCCCAGAGCATTACCAGGGTCTCTGGATTAACAGTCCAGTGATAACACCACTAGGCCATCACCTCCCATTGTGGGGAGAAAGGCTGGTCCAAAAGGTAACAGCCCATGGGATCTAAGGCAAGTTGGCAAACTGGATCCAAAATTTGTTTCCAAAAAGGAGGTAAGGGGTAATGGTGAAGGGTTGTTTTTATGATTGGAAGCCTGTGACCAGCAGGGGTGTGCCACAGCAACTGGTGCTGGGACCCTTGCTGTTTATTATGGACGTTAATGACTTGAATATGAATGTAAATGGTCTAATTAGTAAGTTTGCAGATGGCATGAAAATTGGTGTTGTTGATAGTCAGGAAGATAGCTTGAGGCTACAGTCTGATATTGATCAGCTGGTAAATTTGGCAGAGCAGTGGCAGATGGAATTTAATCCTGATTAGTGTAATGCGATGCATTTTCGGAGATCTTATAAAGGTAGGATATACACACTGAATTTTAGGTCTCTAGGGAGCACTAAGGAACAAAGCGACCTTGGTGTTCAAGCCTATAGATCCCTGAAGGTGGCAGCACAGGTAGACAAGGTTGTGAAGCAGGCATACAGGATGCTTGCCTTCATTGCCCAGAGTGTATAATATAGGACAAGGAACTCTTGTTCCAATTTTATAAAACATTGGTTAAACCACAGGTGGAATACTGTATGCAGTTCTGGTCACCTTGCCATTGGGAGGACGTGATTGCACTAGAGAGGGTGCAGAGGACGTTCACCAGAACGTTGCCTGGGATGAAAAGCCTCAGTTATGAGCAGAGACTAGATAGGCTGGGTTTGTTTTCCATAGAGCAGAGGAGGCTGAGAGAGGATCTGACTGAATTAGAATTAGAATGAGTACAGAGAAAAGTTTACAACTTGCCATTTACTGTACCATCTTTGGTACAAAGATACCAAGTTACAGATTCTTAAGTGTGAATTCTTAGGGAAAGAAAGTAGAAAAAAATGAAATAAAAGGTCTAGCATTACAGATCATAGGAATAAAATAGAAAAGTAAAGAATTAAAAGTTCAAAATAACAGACTTTCCAACCCAGTCCATGCCCGCATCTAGCCTCTAGTCCACACCAGGGCATGACTCTAGATTCCACCATGCTTCACCTCGAGATTATTGAGGCAGGGAGACCACTCTGGAATCATCTCAAGGCTGGAAGTCCATGCTGAGGCCTCGCCAGACCACCAGGACTTAAATTCTGCAAGGAGGCATCACCAAGAAGACAGAAGAAAAAAATACAAAAGAGAAAAAAAGAAAAAAGAAATGGACAGAGCAGACAAGCTCTGTCTGAAGTGTCTTACTTTGCTACCATCGTGGAGCCAAAATATACAAAATTATGAGAGGCGTAGTCAGATTAGATCATGAGAATCTCTTCCCCATGGCAGACGTGTCTAAGATGAGAGGCATAAGCTTCAGGTGAGGATGAAGTGGTTTGGAAGGGATGGAGGGAAAAATAATTTTATTCAGACGATGGTATACATATGGAGTGTGCTGCCTGAGAGGGTGGTGGAGGCAAGTACTTGCATAACATTTAGGAAGCATCTGGATGAACATAGGCTATGGACCTGTTGATCTTGCTTTGTGCACCTCCTGTGCAGCTGTAACCTGTATGCCTCGCTCAGTCTAAGCACCCTATGATCTGTATGTTCTTGTTTGCTACGGTGTGCCTGTACTGCTCACAAAACAAAGCTTTTCACTGTACTTAGGTCCATGTGACTACAATAAACCAAATCAAATCAAAACCAAGTGCAAGTAAATGGGATTAGTGTAATTTGGTGTTTGTTGGTCAGCATAGACATGGTGGGCTGAAGAAGGACCAATTTTTATGCAGTATGACAGTATGACTTCATGACCATCAGAGTGGGGACTGCAATAGGCATGAGGCTGGGTCTTATGTACCAGCACCCTCAAAATATATCAAGGAGATAGCCTTGAACCTAACTTCTTATTTTGTTTAAAGGCAAGTGTAAGGTGCTGTGTTCCAGATGTGATTTGATTAGTCCACTGCTAGGCTTTAAGTAAGACACATTTTATTCTTAAAACACAGTTAAAATGTAAACAAAAAAGAGGAATTGTCATAACTTTAACTCCATTGAAATGCTTAACAAATTATTATATTATTCAACCACTAATCATCAACTGATCCAATATAGCAGCATCCCATAAACACGCCCTTGTCAAAGGCAAATTCAGCAAAACAGGCAGTGCTATCTCCTGTACAATCCAGGAGAAAAAAACACCAAAAGAAACAGTCTAACAGCAGGGAGCTAGAACTCAAACTTTTTGTTGCAGCAGAGAGAGAGCTGTATGTATCACTTTCAACTCCAAAACTCCAACTGAAATCAAAACTAAAACCCTGGGTCTGTGTGAGCCTGACTCCACACACTCATGCTTCTTTTGTCAAATTTGAAAAACAACATTCAGAGCTCAAAGCTGTTTACCCATTGCTTCTGAAGCAGATATTCCGTCTCCATTGTGGCAGCATCTCTCTGCAAGAGACCCAACACAGAACAAATCTCTCTCAAAGGCACAGTACCATCAGAGCAGGCAGGAGTAAATTACTGCAGATGCTGGAATCTGTAAGGAAAACAAAAAGTGCTGGTGATCACAGCAGGCCAGGCATCGTCCATGGAGAGAGTGCAAGCTAAAGTTTTGAGTCTGGATGACTCTTCATCAGAGCTGATGTGAACTGTGGAGAGGGCAGCGTTTATGCAATAGTGGGGTGTGGAATGCCTGGGGAAAGATGCTGCTGATAGTGCAGGTTAAGTGATCGTAATATGAGAATGGCAGAACGATGGTGTGTCTAACAGCCAAACTGGGACCATCTGTTCTTTCCAATATGGCTAGACACACTATTGTTCTGCCATTCTCATATGCTGATCACTTAATCCGCACTATCAGCTGTGTCTCTCCCTCCCTTTTCCTCTACACTGTCCCATTGTGTCCCCATGTTCAAGTCCAAATCATTAATGTATTAAACAAACAGCAGGAGTCCCAACACTGAGCTCTGCAGAACACTACTGGAAACAGCTTTCCATTCAAAGAAACAGCTATTGAGCATTACGAGAATACTCCTCCTCCCACCCACCTTCCTGCAAAAATGCTATCCCCTATTCCCAATTCCTTCACCTCCGCCGCATCTGCTCCCAGGATGAGGCATTCCACTCCCGTACATCTCAGTTGTCCTCGTTTTTCAAGGACCGTAACTTCCCCTCCTCGGTGGTCGAGAACGCCCTCAACCGTGTCTCCCACATCTCCCGCACCTCATCCCTCACACCCCGTCCACGCAATAAGAACCAAAAAAGAATCCCCCTCGTCCTCACGTACCACCCCACCAACCTCCGGATCCAACGCATCATCCTCCGACACTTCCGCCATCTGCAATCCGACCCCACCACCAAAGACATCTTTCCCTCCCCACGCTTATCTGCTTTCCGGAGGGACAACTCTCTCCGTGACTCCCTTGTCCGCTCCACACTCCCCTCCAGCTCCACCACACCCGGCACTTTTCCCTGCAACCGCAGGAAGTGCTACACCTGCCCCCATACCTCCTCCCTAACCCCCATCCCAGGCCCCAAAAAGACTTTCCACATCAAGCAGATGTTCACCTGCACATCTGCCAATGTGGTATACTGCATCCGCTGTACCCGGTGTGGCCTCCTCTACATCGGGGAAACCAAGCGGAGACTCGGGGACCGCTTTGCAGAACACCTATGCTCGGTTCGCAATAAACAACTGCACCTCCCAGTCGCGAACCATTTCAACTCCCCCTCCCATTCCTCAGATGACATGTCCATCCTGGGCCTCCTGCAGTGCCACAACGATGCCACCCGAAGGTTGCAGGAACAGCAACTCATAGTGCGCTTGGGAACCCTGCAGCCCAATGGTATCAATGTCGATTTCACAAGTTTCAAAATCTCCCCTCCCCCTACCGGATCCCAAAACCAGTCCAGCTCGTCCCTGCCTCCCTAACCTGTTCTTCCTCCCACCTATCCCCTCCTCCCACTTCAAGCCGCACCTCCATCTCCTACCGACTAACCTCATCCCGCCCCCTTGACCTGTCCGTCCTCCCTGGACTGACCTATCCCCTTCCTAACTCCCGACCTACACTCACCTTTACTGGCTCCATCCCCGCCTCTTCGACCTGTTTGTTTCCTCTCCACTTATCCTCTCCTCTATCCCTCTTCTATCCGCCTCCCACTCTCTCCCTATTTATTTCAGAACCCCCTTCCCCTCCCCCTTTTCTGATGAAGGGTCTAGGCCCGAAACGTCAGCCTCTCTGCTCCTATGATGCTGCTTGGCCTGCTGTGTTCATCCAGCCCTGCACCTTGTTGTCTCGAACACTTCCCAGGGCCTTGCCATTAACTGTGTAACTCCTGTCCTGGTTTGATCAAAATCCCACTGTAATCTTAGATAACCTTCTTCATTATCCACCATACCACCAATTTTGTGTCATCGCAAACTTCGCAACATGCCTCCTAGATTCTCATCCAATTTCTTTCTCTTTCATGAATACCGATGAGAACTATTCATTTAAGACTTCATCCATATCCTCTGGCTCCATGTACATCTCTCAGTCTCAAATAGGCCCTGTTCTTTCCCTGGTAATCTTTTTGCTCTTGCTCTTAACGTACTATCCTTATCCCTTTCCATAATGATTTTTGAAACTTGAAATAATTCTTTAGAGGCTGGCATCCCATCACCAATCACCCTTTATTTGCACATTCATAGCCTTTGACAATAACATTGCATCAGGGACTAAGTATTCCTGAGATTCACCCTGTTATGTCAGCCAGGGCTCTCTGATTGGGGCAGTTAAATCTGGTGAAATCAGGGAACTCCTATTCTATGACGTCCAGCTTACTGACCTCATTACAATCACTACAAACATAGAGTTTGTTCACCCACTGACACTTCAACAACTTGACCAGCTTCATTTCCTAGCATTAGGTCTGAGACTGCTCCACGTCTAATCAGACTATCTACATACTGGCACGCAAAGCTCTCCTGAATGCACTTTAAAAATTCTACCCACACCTAATCCTTTCACACTTGCCTTTCATTCTGGTCCATTCCCCAGTCTCAGTCCTGGTCCAGTCCCTGGTCTCACTCCTGGTCTATTTCACAATCCCAATCCTGATTTAGACCCCTTAACCTGTCATCCCCGCCACTACACTCCTGACCCATCCTCGCAGTTACATTTTTTTATCGGCCTATTCCAGGCACATTTCTAACCTGACCACCCGTTACTTAGAGTTAGACGTTGCTGAAAATGAAAGTAAGTGCTAAGGTCTTACCTTGGAAAACCAGCACTTCTTAGACTTGTTTGAGAGATCTTGAACTTGTGATCTTGGCTTTCCTCATAAACATCTTCCCAAGGAAATAGGCTAAGACCAACACCATCAAAACTGGTGCCATGATTGCAACACTCAGAGCAGCTGGCTTAGGTTTACCTCCTGGAACTGAGGAATAATGGATCAGGTTACAGTTAACAGAACTGAAGTGTTCAGTTGGCTGAATCTGAAAGGTAATTGCTGCTAGAGTATGCCTGTGTCTCTTGGGGGAGGATGGATCAAACTAGAGGGAATGATTTACTTATCCTCTTCCTCACATTTCTATCTGTTGCAGGTGTGTTGGTCCATGATAGTTACGTTATCAGTAAGAGAGACCACCCCATTGTCCTTGTGGAGATGAATCCTGTCTTCACACTGAGAATACCCTCCCTCGTGTTGTGTGGCACTCTCACCATGTTATTGGGATAGATTCAGAACAAATCTAGTAACACAAAACTAGGCATCGATGAGGCGCTGTGAGTCATTAGCAGCAACAGAATTTGTTCCAATACAATCTGCAACCTCATGGCCTGCCATATCCCCCTCTCTACCATTACTATCAGGCTGGGAGATCAACTCTTGGTCAATGATAAGTGTGGGAGGGCATACTAGGAGCAGCACCAGGCATACCTAACAATGCATGTCAACCTGGTGAAGCTACCAAACAGGGCTGCTCATGTGTCAAACACCAGAGCAGCTTGAGATAGATTGAGCTGAGCAATTCCACAACCAAGGGATTAGATTTAAGCTCTACATACGAAGCAGAGGATCCAACTCGGTCTCCTTCTGAGGTCCTCAGTATCACAGATGCTAACATTTGTTCCCCAAAGGACATTAGAAAACCAGATGGGTTTTTAACAACAATTAACAATGTGGTTACCATTACACTAGGTTTTAATTCCTGATTATTCAAATTTGAATCTGCCTTGCTCCGATTTGTACCTCAGCCTTCAGAACTTTAGCTTAGACTCTAGATTGCTAGTGCAGTGACATTACCACTGTACTACTGCCTTTTAAAATGACACTCTGACATCTTACATCTCTGAACTTCTTCTCTACCTCTGACTTGTTTTGCTGCTTGACTAACTTCCACAAATTGAATGAGCAGGCATTGTGAGATAGATTGAAACTGTTGCTACAGCCTTTATCGCCAGCTCCCAACAGCCACCTGCCGAGTGTCTTAGGCTGAATCAAACTCTGATGCTCTATTTGAGCCCGAACTGAATTTGTGGCCCAATATTCTTTTCATCATGAAGAATGACAGCTTTCACGTCTGTAAAGTTACCTGTCACTGACCGGGCCTCACCTCATACACTGCTGAATCTTGATCCAAGTCTTTGCTCAGATTTAGATACTCCAAGGTTTCCCTGCCCCAACTCCCATTTTTGCCCTCTGAGATCATGAACTTATCCAGATCTCTCCTCCGATATTCTAACACGCACCCTATCCTATTCACTAATCAACCTTCTACTCACTTGTCCATGCAGGTTCTCAGTTTAACAACACTCATTTCATAAGTTTCCTGATTGTTTGCAAAATGCATTCTGTCCCTAGCCCTTCTTATGGAATTTCTTTCAGGTTAGAGGAAGCTGTGGAGTTTGGGAGGTGTTGACTTTTATTTAGTTAGGATAATGAATGGTGCACAAAGAGTGATGCCTGAAGTAACTCCAGCAAGCCAATCACCCATCATTTACATGTGCACAGTACTTGACCCTGGTCCGGCTTCCTCAGTGCCAGCTCTCAGGGTGAGCGGAACCCATAGTACTCCTGTTTATATCTGTCAGCCGGGCTCCCTGATTGGACCAGATTAACAGCCCCAGTTGGGGAACTGTTATTCCATGAGGTCCACCTGGCTGGTCACGTTACAATCACGACAATGCCACTGATGAGGGAGGCTTTTCATTACAGAAACATTGAGGTGCACAATCAGAACTAATATAACCTGTTTTGACAAATGACTGGTATGGTTCAGTACCCTCAGCTTGAGGACACATACTCTTGAGGAACACAGAGAAAAAACACAAACAGAAGAAAAGTGACCAAAAACATCAGCACAATGAAAAACTGAAAAGATTACCTGTGTCTTTTCTAGTCATGGGTCCACTGTCAATGCTGCTATCCTTGGTTTTACAAAATGGAGGAGACCAGCCAACATCACAGTGACAGTTACCTTTGTTGTTGCAAACCTGAAACAATGAAAGATTTTAAAAACACATATAAAATGACATCTAGTGTAAAACCATATATGGACAGGAGTCATTTCCATAGTTGTGAGAGAACAATCTGCAGAACTGCAGATACCTTTAATCGTGCAACTAACTACCCTCAAATATATAAGCTGGAGGTAGGTATTCATCCACTGTGAATATTGTTCACAGGAGAGTGATGTAGAGCAATCACAGAATGCAGTTTATCATAAATAGAATGCAAAATGTGGGTATTTAATGTAAATGGGAACTCAGTGCAGACAAAATTGGAGCGATAACCAAAAACAGAAATTGTTAGAAAAGCTAAGCAGGTCTGGCAGCATCTATGGAGAGAAATCAGAGTCAATGTTTTGAGTTCAGTGACCCTTCTTCTTGTAAGGTTGAGGCTATAATATGAAATTTTTGTTTAGTAACATTATTATTGGTGAGCTGGTGCATAGAGAAAGTAAAAGGACACAACTAAATAAGAAGTAAATGGGAATAAATAATCAGACTAAGATATGACAGGTTGTGTGGGAGCTCGTGGATGGTTGTCTTCAGCATTGAAATAGATATGGCTAGATGTGTAGATAAGGCAAGGCCTTTGATATAGACTCCTTAGACTTCGAGGATTTGGAGAAGTTCCCATTTGGGAGACTGATAGCGAAGGTAAAAGCTCATGGGATCCAAGGAAATTTGACAAATTGGATCCACAATAGGCTGAGTAGCAGGAAGCAGAGCTGATGGTTTTAAGGTGTTTTTCCAATTGGAAACCTGTGTCTAATTGGGTTCCACAGGGATTACTGTTGGGGCCTTTGCTTTTTGTGGTTTTTTACAAATGATTTAGAGAAGAGTTGATCAGTAAATTCACAGATGATACAAAAATTGGTAGGGTGGTAAATAGTGAGAAGGAAAGCCTTAAATTACAGGAAGATAGAGATGGGCTGATCAGTGGCAAATGGAATTCAATCCGGATAAATGTGAGGTCACTCACTTGGACAGGACATACAAGGCAAGGGAATGGATTCAAGATAGCGCCGATTCAGGGAGACTCTTTGTGAGCTCTCTACAGCAGATCTTATTCTCACATTTCTAACATTCATTCAATCACCCTACTATCTGTATATTTTTGCATGTTATAATCTGTCTGCGATGCACGTAAAACAAAATTTTTCACTGTACTTAGATACATGTGACAACAATAAATCAAATCAAAATCAAATTGAATTCATGACAAAAAGCAGGACCCTGGAAAGCACAGAGAATCAGAGGGACCTTGGTTTGCATGTACACTAGTCCCTGAAGGTATCGGGATAAATGGATGAAGTGATTAAGAAGACACATGTTATATTTACCCTTATTAGTTGAAGCATAGAGTTTAAGAACAATGAGGTGATGTTGGAACTGTATAAAACTTTGGTTCAGCCGCAACTGGACTTTTGCATGCAGTTCTAGAATCTACATTATAGGAGGGTGTGATAGCACTGGAGAGTACGCAGAGGGAGATTTACCAGGATGTTGCCTGGGCTGGAGAGTTTCAGTGATGATGAGAAATTGAATAGCGTGGCGTTGCTTTCTGTAGAGCAGTGGAGACTGAGGGAGGATTTGATTGAGATGTATAAAAGCATGAGGGGAATTGATAGGTTAGACAGGAAGAAACTTTTCCCTTGATGGAGGGATCAATAAATGGGGGCATAGATTTAAGGTAAGGGACAGAAGGTTCAAAGGAGATTTAAGGAAAATCTTCATCACCCAGAGAGTGGTGGGAATCTAGAACTCACTACCTGTGAATGCTGTAATAAATGTTATTGAGGTGGTGGCAGAGAGGCAATTTCACTGAACAAATAATTCAGAAATCCTATCAAATGTTCTGATGTTTCAGAGATAGTAGGAACTGCAGATGCTGGAGAATCTGAGATAACAAGGTGTAGAGCTGGATGAACACAGCAGGCTAAGCAGCATCAGAGGAGCAGGAAGGCTGATGTTTCGGGCCTAGACCCTTCGGTTGTAATGGGTTTGAAACCCAGCATGGCAGCTGGTGAAATTTGAGTTCAATATAATCTGGAAGCAAAAACTAATACAATGGTGTCCATGAAGAATCAAACAGCACATGAGAAGTCATTTGGCCCATTATATTCATGCTGTCCTGTCTTCACTAGTTCCATGTTCCAGCACTTGGCCCAAAGACATTTCTAATGCTCATCCAAGTCCCTTATAAAGTTGAGATTTCCTGCCTCAACTATCCTTCCAGATCCCACCACCCTCTGAGTGAAAAGCTCTTTCCTCAAACCCTTCTCAACCTCCTGCCTTTTATTTTGAAATTATGCCCCCTTGTTATTGACCCTGTGACTAAGGGGAACAGCTGCTTCCTATCTACCCTGTTCATGCCCTTCATAATCTCATAGATATCAGTGAGATACGCCCTCAACCTTCTCAGCTCTAAAGAAAACAACCTGAGCTTATCCAGCTTCATCGCTGAAATGTTCCATCTCAGGCAACATCGTAGTGAATCTCCTCTGCACCCTCTCCAGTGCAATCACATCCTTCCTGTAATGTAGACTCCAGCTGTGGCCTCACCAAAGTTGCAACATGCTCTTAAAATCTATGTCATGATTTATAAAAGTAAGTGTCCTGTACGCCTTCTTAACTATCCAAGTAACCCATCCGGCCACCTTCAGATTTATCAGATTTTATATCTAAGACTGGTTGAGCAACCATTTCCTCCAGGTATATAATGGAAAAATTGTAAAGTCTATTCTTCAGTTGCCCACTCTATTTTGCTCCCTGACAACTATCTGAGAATTCACCAATTCACAAATTTGGTGTTATGTGTTCCCCTGAGATAAACTACTACCCTCATATTGACACCATCACTATATCCACTGTGTAACTCTGCTAATCTCTGCACTTACCTATCTTTGTCTGCTGCTACAAACTTCATCTAGACCATCCTGACCGCGACACTGAATCCCACTAATTCACTCCCATCTCATCTTCCACATTCTACCCTCTGGAAACTTGAGATCATCCAAAACTCTGCTTCCATTCTATCTCTCAAAACATCCTGTTCATGTAGATTACCCTCTGCTTGCTGGCCTACATTGCCTCCTGGTTAAGGGAATGTTGATATTAAATTCTGATCTTTGCCTTCAAATCTATCCTTGGTCTCGCCTCCCACTTACCATTGTGTTCTTTTCCAGCTCAAATCCTCTGAAACATCGGTGATACGCTAATTACGGTCTTTCATTATCTCTAATTTTAACAGCTTCACCAATGTTGGTGTTGTTGTAGTTTGAGGTTCTACACTTGCTTGCCAAGCTGGTGTGTTTGGTTGCAGACAATTTGTCACCGTGCTAGGTAACACCGTCAGTGCGCCTCCGGTGAAGCGCTGGTGTTCTGTCCTCCTTGTTATTTATATGCCTCGGTTTGCTGGGGTGGTTGGCATTACTTTGGTTCAGTTTTTCAGTGGTTTGTATATCGGGTCCAGTTTGATGTGTTTGTTGATGGAGTGTTGGAGTGGTTGCTGGAGTAATTAAGTATCTGATCCATATGTGTGGTGTTTCTAGTCTGGAGTTCCCCATTGTTCTTACGTTCTACCATATGTCTACGAAGGGTAGTTGGTTATAGCTCTCTTCTTCTTTTGTGAATTTTATTCCAGTGAGGATGTTGTTTATGTGTCAGTTGGTTTCTTCTAGTCTTGTGCATATGATAATCACAAAGGTGTCATCTACATAGCAGACCCAGAGTTTGGGTTGTATAGTCGGGAGTGCTGTTCATTGTAATCTTCTCAAATCTTCTCAAAAACATTTTTGCAGTTTTCCTAGGCCTTGAGCTCTGGAATCCCCACCACTCAACCATACTTCCTCTTTTTCCTTTCTGGCACTGTGGCCCAAATTGTGACTCCTCTGTGAAGTGCCTTGGGATGTTTCTTCCATTAAACAAATTACATCAATACAACAATTGATACCATTGTCCCAATCCATCCCCAAAACATTCATCAGTCTTACAAGAAATGAGAGAAACTAATTTCGTACCCCTTTTTTATTGCAGGTGTCGTCACATTCCTTTACCTTGAGTACAGTGACATCCTGACATTGTGCATTATGACAGAGCTGTTAAATAGAAAATAAACAATAATTGTCAACACAGTGTCAATGTCATTAGGTTTCAAAAATGAGCCATCTGAATGGTCTAACACCAAAACCCAGTCAGGCTCATAACTGTGAGAAATAGAAGCATCAATAGGTCAAAGGGTTCCTCTGGGCTGTTGCATGTCCCAAAATATCAGAGCTCTGCATCCAGCTCAACTCCACTTTACTGCACCAACCCACTTCACATCACCTAATTCTTTTAGGATTTAATCTACTGAGCTCATCTTCAATATTGATGGAAGGCGATGGCCTAATGATATTATTGCTAGACTATTAAACCAAAAACTCAGCTAATGTTCTGGGGATCTGGATTCGAATTCTGCCACAGCAGATGGTGGAATTTCAGTTCAGTTGAGAATCTATTGATAACCACGAAATCATTATTAATTGTCAGAAAAGCCCATCTGGTTCACTAATGTCCTTCATGGAAGGATATCTGCCATCTCACCTACATGTTTTTTTCTTTATTCATTTATTCGATGAGGGTGTCGCTGACTCGGCAGCAATCATTGCCCATCCCTAATTACCCAGAGGGCAGTTCAGACTCAACCCCATTGCTGTGGGTCTGGAGCCACATGTAGGCCAGACCAGGTAAGGATGGCTGTTTCCTTCCCTAAAGGACATTAGTGAACCAGATGGGTTTTTCCGACAATCTGCAATGGATTCACGGTCATCATTAGAATCTTAATTGCAGATATTTATTTTTGAATTCAAATTCCACCATCTGCCATGGTGGGTTTTGAACCTGGGTCCCCAGAAGGGTATCTGGGCCTCTGGATTAACAGTCCAACGATAATACCACTATGTCATTGCCTCCCCAAAACTGTGATTCCAGATCCACAGCAATGCGGTTAACTCTCAGAGATAGTAGGAACTGCCAATGCTGGAGAATCTGAGACAACAAGGTGTAGAGCTGGATGAACACAGCAGGCCAAGTAGCGTCAGAGGAGCAGGAAAGCTGATGTTTCGGGTCTGGACCTTCCTTCAAAAATGGGGGAGGGGAAGCGGATTCTGAAATAAATAGGGAGAGAGGGGAGGCGGATGGAAGATGGATAAAGGAGCAGATAGGTGGACAGGAGATGGACAGGTCAAGGAGGCAGGGATGGAGCCAGTAAAGGTGAGTGTAGGTGGGGAGTTAGGGTGGAGGTTGGTCAGTCAAGGGAAGACGGACAGGTCAAGGAGGCAGGGATGAGGCTGGTAGGTAGGAGGTGGGGATGGGGGTTGAGGTGGGAGGAGGGGATAGATGGGAGAAAGGACAGGTTAGGGAGGCGGGGACAAGCTCGGCTGGTTTTGAGATGCGGTAGGGGGAGGGGAGATTTTGAAGCTTGTGAAGTCCACATTGATACCATTGGGCTGCAGGGTTCCGAGGCCAAATATGAGGTGCTGTTCCTGCAACCTTCGGGTGGCATCGTTGTGGCACTGCAGGAGGCCCAGGATGGACATGTCGTCCAAGGAGTGGGAGGGGGAGTTGAAGTGGCTCGCGACTGGGACTAAAGTGGTTCACTTTCTGCGGTTGCAGGGAAAAGTGCCGGGGTCCTAGGGCTGATGGGGAGTGTGGAGCGGACAAGGGAGTCACGGAGAGAGTGGTCCCTTCGGAAGGCAGATAAGGGTGGGGAGGGAAAAATGTCCTTGGTAGTGGGATCAGATTGCAGGTGGAGGAGGATGATGCATTGGATCTGGAGGTTGGTGGGATGGTACGTGAGGATGAGGGGGATTCTGTTTTTGTTGTTATTGCGGGGAGGGGGTGTGAGGGATGAGTTGCGGGAAATGTGAGAGATGTGGTCAAGGGCAGTTAACTCTCAGATGTCCTATGAAAAGGCCTAACAAGCCGTTCAGTTGGACCAATTGCGACAAAGTCTCAAAGAAATGGAACTGGATGGGTCACCTGGCATTGACCTAGGCACTAGAAAAGACAACGGCAGGAATAACCCTGTCGACCCTGCAAAGTCCTCCTCACTAACATCTAGGAGCTAGTGCCAAAACTGGGAGAGTTGTCTCATAGACTCGTCAAGCAACAGCCTGACAGAGAGATACACATGGAATCATACCTTCAAGACAATATCCCAGATACCACCATCACCATCCCTGAATATATACTGTCCCACTGACAAGACAGACCCAGAAGAGGGGGCGATACAGTGGTATACAGTCAGGAGGGAATTGCCCTAGGAGTCGTCAACATTGACTCTGGACCCCAGTCCAAAGATGTGCAGGGTGGGTGGATTGGCCATACTAAATTGCCCATTGTGCCATGGGGATGTTTAGGTTAGGTGGGTTAGACATGGGGAAATCAGGGGTAGAGGAATGGGTCTGGGTGGGATGCTCTTTGGAGGGGCAGTATGGACTTGTTGGGCTGAATGGCCTGTTTTCACACTGTAGGGATTATATGATTCCATGAAGGCAAAATAAAAGAACTGATCATTGACATCAGGAAGGAAGGAGGACAACACGCCCCTAACTACATCAATAGAGCTGAGGTGGAGAGGCAGGAGTAATGATAACCGACCACTTGTCCTGGAATTCCCATGTAGGTGCAGCAGCCAAGAAGGCACAACGATGCCTCTTCTTCCTCAGGAGGTTTAGGAAATTCGGCATGACCACAGAGAACCTCACCAATTTTACAGATGCACCATAAAAAGCATACTATCCAGGTGCATAATGGCCTGGTATGGCGACTGCTCTGCCCAGTAATGTAAGAAACTATAGAACATTGTGTACACAGCCCAGACCATCACGAAAGCTAACCTCCCATCCATGGACTCCATTTACACCTTTCATTGCCATGGAAAGGGTGCCAAAATTATCAAAGATGCCTCTCAACCCAGTAATGCTACAATCTCTTCTGTCAGGCAGAAGATATAGAAGCTTGAACCCATGCACCAGCAGGCTGAAGAATAGTTTCTTCTCTGCCATTGTTAGACTGCTAAATGGAGTCTCTAACTTCAAATAATGTTGATCTTGTTAATGTTGATCTTGCTTTGCACACCTCCTGTGCAGCTGCAGTTGGATAGAGTCATAGCATCCTATAGAATAGAAACAGACCCTTCGGCCCAAACTGGTCCATACCGACCAAAATGTCCAGCCACGCTAATTCCATTTCCCTGCACTTGGACCTATATCCTTCTAAACCTTTCCTATCCATGCATTCATCCAAATTGCTCTTAAATGTTGTTAATGTACCAGCCTCAACCACTTCCACTGGCAGCTCATTCCATATGCGTACGATGCTCTGTAAAAAAAGTTATCCCTCAGGTTCCCATGTATTCTTTCCACTCTTACCTTAAACTGTTGCCCGTTAGTCCTCGATTCCCAAACCCTGGGAAAAAGGCTGAGTGCGTTCACCATATCCACGCTTCTCATGGTCGTATACACTTCAGTAAGAACCCCCTCAGTCTCCAATGCTCTAAAGAAAATAGTCCTAGCTTGTCCAACCTCTCCCTATAACTCAGTCCCTTGAGTCCTGGCAACATCCTTGTAAATTTCTTCTTCATTGTTTCCAGTTTAATAATATTCTTCCTATAGCAAGATGACCAAAGTTGAACACAATACTCCCAAGTACGGCCTCACCAATATCCTGTACAACTGCAACATAACTTCCCAACTTCTGTACTCTGACTGATGAAGGCCAGTGCCCCAAAAGGGGAGGCAATGGCCTAGTGGTATTATCACCGGACTGTGAATCCAGAGACCTAGACAACATTCTGGGGACCTGGGCTCAAATCCTGCCACAGCAGATGGTGGAATTTGAATTCAATAAAAATACCTGGAATTAAGAATCTAATGACGACCATGAATCCATCAATGATTGTCAGGGAAACACCCATCTGGTTCACTAATTTTCTTTTAGGGAAGGAAACTGCCATCCTTACCTGGTCTGGCCTCCATGTGACTCCAGACCCACAGCAATGTGGTTGACTCTTAAACAGCCCACTGGGCAATTAGGGATGGGCAATAAATGTTGCCTAGCTAGCAATGTCCTCATTCCGTTAACAAATAAAGATAAAGAAGCCTTCTTCGCTGCCCTGTCTACCTATGACTCCACTTTCAGAGAACCATGAACCTGAACTCCAAGGTCCCTCTCTTCCACTACACTCCTTAAAGCCCTACCATTAACCATGAAACTTCTACCTTGATTTGGCTTTCCAAAATGCAACACCTCACACTTATCTATATTAAACTCCATCCGCCATTTCTCAGCCCATTTCCCCAGCTGATCAAAATGCTGCTGCAATTTCTGATAACCTTCATTACTGTCCACAATACCGCCTATTTTAGCATCAAACTTACTAATCATGCCTTGTACATTTTCATCCAAATCATTAATATAGATAACAAACAGCAATGGGCCCAGCACCGACCCCTGAGGCACACAATTAGTCACAAGCCTTCAGTCCAACAAGCATCCTTCCAGTATTACCCTCTGCTTCCTACCTTCAAGCCAATTGTGATTCCAATTTTCCAGCTGTCCCTTGATTCTATGTGATCTAACCTTCCAGAGCAGCCGACCATGTGGAACCTAATCAAAGGCCTTAGTGAAATCCATATAGACTACATGTACTACCCCGTCCTCACCAACCTTCCTAGTCACTTCATCAAAGAACTCCAAAAAATTTATGAGGCATGATCTCCCACGCACGAAGCCATGCTGACTACTCCTAATCAAAGCCTGTTTTTTGTAAATGAATGTATATCTTATCCCTCACAATCTCCTCAAGTAACTTATCTACCACAGATGTGCTTACTGCTCTGTAATTCCCAGGTTCTTCTTTACAGCCCTTCTTGAATAAGAGTATGCCTCACTCTATGTTAGCACGCAATGTTCTGTATGTCCTTGCTTATTGGGATCTGCTTGAACTGCTCACAAATAAAAGCTTTTCACTGTACTTAAGTACACATGACAACAATAAATTGGATTAAATCAAATCAATGTTTCATGGCTCCAGGTTAAACATGGGCAAGGAAAGCTGCTGTTGATTATCACGTAACTCCTGCCTCAGCTGATGAATCAGTTCTCCTCCATGTTGAATAACACTGGAGGAAGCACTGATGATGGCAAGGGCACAAAATGTACTCTGGGTGGAGGATTTCAATGTCCACCACCAAGAGTGGCTTGGCACCAGTACCACTGATTGAGCTGAACAGATCCTAGAGGCCATAGCTGCTAGACTGGGTCTGCAGCAGGTGGTCAGGGAATCAACAAGAGGGAAAAACATACTTGAGCTCATCCTTACCAATCTGCCAGCTGCAGATGCATCTGTCAATGACAGTTTCGGTATGCGTGGCCACCGTCTTTGTGTCTTTGTGGAGACAAAGTCCCACCTTCACACTGAGAATAACCTCAATTGTGTTGTGTGGCACTATCACCGTGGTAAATGGGACAGATTTCAAACCAATCTAGCAACTCAAGACCATCATCTATGACGCGCTGTGGGGCATCAACAGCAGCAGAATTGTACTCCAGCACAATGTGTAACCTCATGGCCCAACATATCCCCGATTCAACGTTACCATCAAGCCAGGGGATCAACCCTGATTCAATGGAGAGTGCAGGAGGGTATGCCAGGAGCAGCACCAGGCAAATATGAAGATCAGGTGTCATCCTGGTGAAGCCACCAAACAGCACTACTTGCACACCAAACAGTGAAAGCAGCAAGTGATAGACAGAGCTAAGTCAAACCCACAACCAAAGCTCTGCAGTCCTGCCACATTTAGTCATGAATTGTGGTGGATGATTAAATGACTCACTGGAGGAAGAGGCTTCACAAATATCCCCATCCTCAATGATGGAAGAGCCCAGCAAAAAGATTTTGACAAAATCCCGTACGAGAGATTATTGTGCAAGATTAAAGTGCATGGGATTGGAGAAAGTATATTGAGATGAATGTAAAACTGGTTGGCAGAGAGGAAACAAAGAGGAGGAATTAATGGGGGGGGTGGAGAGAAGGGAGCCCAGAAATAAATAGAGAGAGGAGGGGAGGGGCTGGTGAAGGTAGGTGAGATGGTTTAACTGGTTAACCAGTTTCAAAATCTCCCCACCCCCAGCCTCATCCCATGACGAACCCTCCCTCTCATCCCCGCTTCCTTGACCTGACACAACCTGTCCATCTTCTCTCCCACCTATCTGCTCCTCCCACCTCACTGACCAATCGCCACCACTCCCTACCTGCACTCACCTATTACTATCCTACCTACCTTCCCCAGCCCCACTCCTCCTCTCTCTATTTATTTCTGAGCTCCCTTCCCCTCCTCCCCATTTCTGAAGAAGCGTCCTGACCCGAAACATCAACTTTCCTGCTCCTCTGATGCTGCTTGGCCTGCTGTGTTCATCCAGCTCTACACCTTGTTATCTCAGATTCTCCAGCATCTGCAGTTCCTACTATCTCTGTAGGAATTAATGGATCCTTTACAAATTAGCAGGTAGTAACTAGTGGGGTGCCACAGGGATCGGTGCTGGGGACCCAGCTATTCACAATATATATTAATGATTTGCATGAGAGAACAAAATGTAAATTCTCAAAGTTTGCAGATGATATCAGGTTGAATGTGAGGGTGAACTGTGATGAGGATGCAGAGATCCTTCAGCATGATCTGGACAGGTTGGGTGAGTGGGCAGATCAATGGCAGATACTGTATAATTTGGATAAATGTGAGGTTATTCACTTTGGAAGCAAAAACAAGAAGGCAGGTTACTACCTGAATGGCTGTAAATTGGGAGAGGGGAGTGTGCAGTGGGACCTGGGTGTCCTTGTGCACCAGTTGCTGAAGGTAAGCATGCAGGTACAGCAGGTGGTAAAGAAGGTAAATGGTATGTTGGCCTTCATTGCGAGAGGTTTTGAGTACAGGAGCAGGGATGTGTTGTTGCAGTTAGAATATAGAACATAGAACAGTACAGCACAGTACAGGCCCTTCAGCCCATGATGTTGTGCCAGCCTATTATCCTACTAAGATCAAACTACCCTGCATACCCTACATTTTACTATCCTCCATGTGCCTATCCAAGAGCCGCTTAAAAGTCTCTAAAGTATCTGACTCCATTACGACTGCCGGCAGCACATTCCACACGCCCACCACTCTCTGTGTGAAGAACCTACCTCTGACATCTCCCCTATATCTTCCTCCAATCACCTTAAAATTATGCCCCCTCGTAATAGTCATTTCCGCCCTGGGAAAAAGTCTCTGACTATCCACTGTTATCCAGGACCTTCGTGAGGCTATCACCTAGAATATTGTATGTGGTTTTGGTCTCCTTTTCTGAGGAAGAATGGTCTTGCTCTTGAGGGACTGCGGCGAAGGTTTACCGAGCTGTTTCTAGGGATGGTGGGTCTGATGTATGAAGAGAGATTGACTAGGTTAAGATTATAAAATTCTAACAGGACTGGACAAGGTAGATGCAGGGAGGATGTTCCCGATGATGGGTGTGTCTGGAACCAGGGATCACAGTCTGAGGATTCGGGGTAGATCATTTAGGACGGAGATGAGGAGACATTTCTTCACCCAATGAGTGGTGAGCCTGTGGAATTCGTTACCACAGGAAGTAGTTGATGGCAAAACATTGAATGTATTCAAGAGGCAGCTAGATATACTTGGGGTGAATGGGATCAAAGGTTATGGGGAGAAAACAGCATTAAGCTATTGAGTTGGACGATCAGCCACGATCGTGATCAATGGCGGAGCAGGCTCGAACTGCCAAAAGGCCTCCTCCTGCCCCTATCTTCTATGTTCTCAAAGGTAACTGAAGATGGGTAAAAATTGCTCGCCAGCCAGTGATGCCAACGACCCACAAATGAATAATTTTTAAAAATGGTCTGTGCTTCCACAGCACTTTGAGGTAGAGTATTCCAAAGATTCAAAACCTTTGCGTGTAGAAATGTTCCCTCATGTCAATCTGAATTGTCTGTCCCTGATCAGAAGACAATGATCCTAAATGCACACCATCTAGCTATGGGGAATACTTGCCAAACTCTCAAAGACTCGTGTATATTTCGTGGGATTGCTTCTAATTCCACAATTGAACTGAGAACTCCTGAGAAATGTTACCAACCCAGGAATCAGTTGGTGAATCTGCAGTTGTTTGTTTTTGTGAAGGTAATGTTGGAATGGCAGTTTGGACAGCCTGGTAGGAATTGTGCAATGGCAAAAACAAACAAAATACCTGACGGGGTAAGTTAAACGGCAATGAAGAGCCAAGGGGAGAGGTTATTCAGTGGGGCTGACCTAGAATGACGCAGAATGGAGATATGGCAGCAATGTGAAGAAGAATGGTATCAAAAGGCAGACTAGCAGAGACTCAACAGTGGGAAAGAAGGAAGGCCATGAGAAGGGAGAGAGGCAGTCTGTCAATTATTGAAGAGTTAACGGTGAATGTCTCACCTTGTTACTGCCACACTTGGTTCCATGCTGAATTAGGTCTGGAGTGCTGGCATTACCTCGGTCAGAAACTATCCCTCTGCAGTTATATGTTACACCCTTGATAACCACAGAAGAGTAAAAGGCTGTCATCTGTCCACTTTGGATTGGCTGTTTATTTCCACCTGTACACTGGATTTTTCCACAAAGTACATTCCTGTAGGGCAGATGCAAATAATTTAGATCTTTTACATTCTCAAACTGGTGCCATTGTTTTCTTCTTGTCTAAATTCTTTACTATTTTAGTCATAGAGTCATACAGCATGGAAACAGACCCTTTGGTCCAACTCGTCCGTGCTGACCAGACATTCCAAAGTGACCTAGTCCCATTTGCCAGCATTTGGCCCATATCCCACTCAACCCGTCCTATTCATATACCCATCCAAAAGCCTCTTAAATGCTGTAAGTGTACCCGCCTCTACCATTTCCTCTGGCAGCTCGTTCCATTTCACACACCACCCTCTGTGTAAAACAGTTACCCTTCAGGTCCCTTTTAAATCTTTATCCTTTCACCTTAAACCTATGCCATTTAAATTTGGACTCCCATACCTTGGGAAAAAGACCTTGGTTATTCATGCCAATCATGATTTTATAAACCTCTTTAAAGGTCACCCCTCAGCCTCCAACACTCCTGGGAAAGAAAGCCCCAGCCTATTCAGTCTCTCACAATATCTGAAACCCTCCAGCCCTGGCAACATCCTTGTAAATGGTTTCTGCACCCACTCAAGTTTAACAAAATCTTTTTCTGTAGAAGGGAGACCAGAGTGGTACACAGTGTTCTAAAAGTGTTTTTTTTGTATTCTTTGCAGGCTCTGTCTGTCTTCAGTTTCTTTTTTCTTTTTGACTAAGATCTAATTTTTCCTGTCATCCAAGATTCTTGAATCTTGCCATTCACAGGAACTTGCTGGTCCAGAACACTAACCAATTGGCCTTTAAAAGATTTCCACATGACAGATGTGGATTTACCCTCAAACAACCGCCCGCAGACTACATTCCCCAATTCCTACCTAATATTGTTGCTGTTAGCCTTCCCCCAGTTGAGTAATTTCACCCGAGGACTACTCCTGCCGTATCCATAAGTAACTTAAATCTTAGAGAATTATGGTCACTGTATCTGAAATGCTCCCCAATGAAACTTTGATCACCTAGCCAGGCTCATTCCCCAATTCCAATTCTGGTATGGGCTGTTTCCTAGTTATACTATTTACATATTGTCTCATAACACCATCCTGGACATACCTAAGAAATTCCCTCACATTTAAGTGCCTGCCACTAAATGAGTCCCAATTCATACAAGGGAAGTTAAAATCACCCACCACAACAACCCTGCATTTTTCATAATTTGTCCACATATCTGTTCCTCTGTCACCTGCTGGCTGTTGGGAGGCCTGTAGTACAATCCCAACAAAGTGATTGCACCCTTCCTATTCCTGAGCTCCACTCATAAGGCCTCACTGATGAGCCCTCCAAGGTATCCTCCTTCAGTACAGCTGTGGTATTTTCCCTAATCAGTTGCACAACTCCTCATCTCTTTTACATCCCCCGCTGTCTCACCTGAAGCAGCTGGCTTTGTTCTTAAGAAGGGAAGGACAAAGAGCACCTGAGTAGTAGTTATGGGGACTCGATAGTTCAGGGTACAGATAGGCGCTTCTGTGGACATAAAACAGACTCCAGGATGGTCTGTTGCCTCCCTGGTGCCTGGGTCCAGGATGTCTCTGAATGGGCAGTAAGCATTCTGAAGGGAGAG